CATGCTTTACCAAGACACTTAGAAGACAAAAGTGATGTTCATACCTTCCCACCAGTAGTTTTCAGCCACGCATTTGTAGGTCTCTTCCAGTGAGAGGTGGCGTTGGCCCGGTCGCCTTATGTGGAAAGTGGAGATTGCCTCATGTCTTCGGTCCTCATTCAAAACCTCCCGGTAGTTGATGAAGCCCCTTTCCAGTTTCTTTCGATAAAGCAGCCCGTCTATCACCTCAAAGTTGGGGGACCACCGTGCGGTGGACCCACGCCCACTCGAGCACCCCGCTGACTCCTTCTGCCGGGATTGCTTTCTATCTCCATCCGACCAGGGCTTGGACGGGCAACACGTCTCTGCGTTTTCGTATTGGGCGTTGGTGTGAGAACAGTCACAAGCCATTTTTTCTTAAAAAAAAAGAGGATTTATATTCCAATAAAAAGATACAACTTTGTAGTCTCAGAAGGACTACCCCCACCACCACCTTTCTGGATCGCCCTCTTACGAAACTTTACCCAACGACCTGAAACGAAGTCCACGTGGATGAGGCGATAAAGGACGACAGAGGCACGAAAACACGCAGCTGAAAAGTCTGACACAATGTAGTGCACCACACAGAGTAAATTCTCAATAACTAGCGCCTCTCATTGTGGCTTGAAAAGCAGAAGAAAAGTCAGACGGGAATCAGCCGCATTTCCCTGCCCCTGCTTTGTATCCTTGCTGTCAATGAGAGCATCACTTCTCTCTATCCAAACATCCCTAAATATGCAATAGTTACACTTCCTCCTTGGGACACGTTTGGTCAAATTTCTTAGCAATTTCTCGGTTTCGACTGTCGGGCAACCAGGTTCTTTTTTAATATCCCTCCAAATGTGGATAATAACCCAGGAGAGTATCGCGCCAACAACGCCAAGCCAAGTGATGTAAAGTCACCACAACGACCGCGTAAACAGGCTTCACCGTCAACCCCTCGCCGGCAGTCCGTCTTCCATCTGTCTCAGAGGTCGGGAGTGGCCTCTGGGGGTGGATGACGGCGGGCAGCCTCACCTCTGGCGTTAACTTGTGATTTCTTTTCGCCAACTCGAGTCGGAAGCAACATGATGACGCAGCTATCAGCTCAGCATCGCGACTTGGACGACCTAAAAGCGAGGCTGGTCGCCCCGACCAGCTCGAAAATGTTGCAATAATCACCGCCGGACCCCTTCAAAAGCGAGTCAACAAGCTCCGGTCAGACACCCGACATAGTTCACCCCCCTTCAGCCGCCACAACGCCGCTCTAGTAGTCAAATAGTCCAATTTTTCAAACTCGTAACCTTCTGTTTGTTGCTAATCAGCAGACTAACCGAGCGAAGGGCTCCCCGCCTTCACACAAAGGCTATTAGCAGAAGCTTTAAAGAGCTTCGCCCGAGCCAATTGCGATTGGCTGCTGCGGCTGTCACTCAAACAGCCAGTTTTCTTCCATTTGCAGTAAGCTAGGTTGTTCGCTCACGATTCCAGTGTACCAGTATTTGCTTCACTTGCTGCAAACACAAGTGAAACACGATATAGCCAGTGTGTCGTATCCATTAACGGAATACACACTGTTTCATGTGGCGACTGTTCAATATTTCCCTCCCCAGAATAAGTTACAGCTACAACAGATTTACTCACATTTCAAAACGTTAGCCACATTTCATCACCTCAGTGTCTGTTACAAATATTGTATCCGCATATTAATTTTGTAAACGTTTGGGTTACATTTCCAGACTTTAATAAAAGTAAAAATTAAATAACAATAAAATACATCAACCAGGCCCATGTCCAAAACATGTTTATTACTAAATTTTGATGACAACATCAACAATGACAAGGTCAACAGAAAAAGGCGGCTATTTCCTTAAAAATGTAAATCATAATCATGGAAAGGTGATGAAATAATGTAGATTTTAGGAGAAAAAAACAACAACATCAACTTTTTTCATAAGGCAAAAACTGATGATTAATTAATTTTTTTTAAAATAAGGCTGGATTACACTTCTGAAAAGATGTCCACATGCCCTTACCAGATGAATTTACAGTTGGGACCATAATTTGTTGTGGCAAGTTTTAGTGAACTAGTTTCATCCCTGTACAGTTTGTGCAGACTTTCAATTTTAATTCAGCTGGGTTTACAATCAGAATCAGAATCAGAATACTTTATTGATCCCTGGGGGAAATTATTTTTTTTTACAGTGCTCCATTATAAACCAACATAGACAAGACAGACAATACCTAACTAGATAGTAATTACTTATTATACATAGCATACACATAATATACAATATATCATATATATACATACATACATAAGTCACTCATAAATAAATAGCTGGAAAAGAAACATGTGTAGTTGTAGCAGTAACCAGTGTGTTAAGTGGATGCGTTGTACAGGGAGATGGCCACAGGCAGGAAAGATTTCCTGTGTCGTTCAGTGGTGCTTTTCGGTAATCTCAGTCTCTCACTGAACGTGCTCCTGTGACTGACCAGCATGTCATGGAGTGGGTGGGAGGTGTTATCCAACATTGTCTTTATCTTGGACAGCATCCGCCTCTCCGACACCACCTTGAGGGAGTCCAGCTCCATCCCCACAACATTACTGGCCTTACGAGATTAGTTTATTGAGTCTGTTGGCATCTGCGTACCCTCAGCCTGCTCCCCCAGCATGCAACAGCATAGAGGATCGCACTGGCCACAACAGACTCATAGAAAATCCTCAGCATTTTCTGGCAGATGTTGAAGGACCTCAGTCGCCTCAAAAAATAGAGACGACTCTGGCCCTTCCTGTAAAGTGCTGTGGTGTTTTTAGCCCAGTCCAGTTTATTGTCAATGTGTACTCCAAGGTATTTATAGTCCTCCACAATGTCAACACTGACCCCCTGGATTGAAACAGGGGTCAAGTGTTTCCTGGTCTTCCTGAAGTCCACTATCAAGGATTATATCAAGGATTTTGCATTAAATGTTTAGGAATTTTTATACACGTTTTTTGTTTATTTTCAGAGGCCCAAATGGACAAAATAGTAAAGCTTTAAATATAATGATTGTTTTTAATACTTGGATGAAAATAATGTGGAATCACCCTTATGAAGTCTAGAATCATCACCGAATGGTATAAGTTTCTTTTCGTCAGATGCTCTGCCTTCAGTTTAGTCTACAGTACCGGTAACTAGAAATCATGCTCAGATGATTGGTTTGGTCATTGAACAATATGTCCTTTCTTTTACTTTGCGTTGGGTCTTTATCCATTAGCACTGTGAAGCATTTTTCAGTCAGTTTTGCAAAACATGGCTGAATCTGAGCACAGAGTACAGCCCAGTACACTTCAGAATTCACCCTGGCACTTCTATCAGCAGTGACATAATGAGTAAGAACTGCTGACCTGGTTCCACTGACCACTATACACACCCATACCATAGCACTTTCTCACCACGCTCCATACATTTCAATCTGGTACAGTCTAATCTTGCTGACATCTGTCTAAAGATTTTTTTCCAGCACTCTTTTATATGTTTCTGACAAAGCCTAAACCTAAACTCTCTGTATTTCCATTCATGAAGGCGTCTCTTGATTGTCGACCTTGACAGTGGTATGCCTGAATCCTTGAGAGTCTTCTCGGCTTGATTAGATGTTGTGAAAAAATTTTTTCCATTCCAGCGAACACATTTTTTTCATTCCACACTTTAATTCTCTTCTGTGGTATTCCAGGACATTTGGTGCTGCTAAGTTAGCCAGTACATTCCTCCTGTTGATTTGGCCACCCCTAAAGGTTTTGCTGTCTCTTCGATAGGTTTATTTTGTTTGTTTAGCCTAATGATGGCCTCCCTCATATGCACTGACATTCCTTTGGGCCTCATGATTAGAATTACAGAGAAAAAAATCAACTTCAGATATTAAATCTTCATTTGGCATGAAATTAATGACGGAACAGCAAGTGTTCAACTACTTTTCAGCCTCTGAAAATGGGAGACTGTGTATAAAAACGACTTTATGAAAACCTCTTGAATTAAAGCTAAGCTAAGCTGTAAAGTCTGCACTTCAGTCATATGTTGACTGGTTGAGTGCAAAGCCAGTGTGGTGGTGTAAAGAAGCAAATCTACAAAAAAAATCTCTTCATCCAACAAATTATGGATCTGACTGTAAAAGTCTGAAATGATGATTAATAATGCTACAGCAATCTGGAAACAAAAGTACATCCTATGGAAATTGTTTTTTTTTGTTATTTGACTTGGTTCAAGCTCATATTTTAACCACTTTTATCCACAGCAATGCTTGAAGCCTGGGTTGCTTTTTTACTTTGGGTCATTATCCATTTGCACTGTGAAGTATTTTCCAATCAGTTTTGCAAAATGTGGTTGAATCTGAGCACAAAGTATAGCCTTGTAGACACAATTGCTTTAAAATAGTGTCTACACAACGTATAATATACTTTATCACAACCACAGGGATTTTTTTGTAATATTTAAAAAAGTAATTGGCCTCTAATTCAGTAGAAATGATGTCTTGTATAGTTGCCCATCACTCTCTGACATAGGCTTACTGGAAATTTTGGCCACTCTTTAATTCACAGTTTCTTCAGTTGCAAAATGTTTGAGGGATATTCCTGGATGGACGCGCTGCCTCGTCCAAAATCTCTC